CTTCTGTTTTTATTGGCTCTATCCCATTGTGTTTATTTAATTTTATTATGTGTACTGATATGAACAACTTTTTTGAGGAAAATGAAATAATAGCCATTATTCATTTCATGTTATCTGGTTTTGAAGTCATGCATTGGTCTCATTCTTTTGATTGGTTTTATACTATCTTGTTATGTTTGATATTGTTTGTGACGTTATGGTCAACTATTTAAAGGAAACAAGAGACATTAGGGTATCCACTATCGATGTCCTGTTGCCTTGTCGTGAAGCGCCGTGATGCTTGCATTGCTGTATTCTTATTTTCTTTGTTCTGTTTTGTTTCCTTTTTTGTTTAATACTCTTTAAAATAAAAAAATATACTACCATCTTCTGATTATAGATTCTGAGACATCTGCAGGTCTAGCCAAAAGATCATGTTTTCTTACACAAAGTTACTGTTGAAAATGTCATGTCTCACAATTCAGCCTGTAGTTCTATGTTAAGCATTGTGTAGTTGAAGAATATTTGCAGAGTGCTTTTCAGAGAAAGTAATAGCCTCTTCCCTCATTTTAGTGACAATGAGAGCTGATCATAGGGCTTAAATGGGTGGCAAGTTGGGCTGTGCATCAGCTTGATTAAGTCCATTTCCCCTGTGATTTAGTATCTCAACCTTCATCCATTAGCTTTGCTTCTATTTTTCAATTCTCATGTTACTTCTTTTTAAATTCACAGATAACTTTATCATACTGGTTTGAATATGAATCCAAAAACTTGAAGATTATAGGACACAGGTCCAGTAATTCCTAAAGTCACAAGTTCCACTTGGGACTGGACTAAGGAAGAAGGTGCCCAAGACACATGATTGGGAGATGACTTTGAGAGCTCCAAAGAGCTCACAAGGGCTTCCAGGAGTCTCTCACCCCAGAGCCTAATCATTATATGACATGCAGTGGGATTGGACTAATGTGAATTTAGATCAGCATGAGAGAAGTAATGATTACTTGGTTCTGTTCTCTCCAAGGGAAGTTGGAGAAAGTTCTGAGCAGTGCTCTCCCCACATGACTATGATCTTGCAGAGAATAAAATAATAACAAGAAACAGATGACATGCTCTACTGGTGACTTAATTATTTTACCCTCCCTCATGGAGTCTTGTCACCTTTCTTCTGACACTAAAGTTGCAGGTCTACTGAGAGATGAGCTAATGATGAGTTTTCCATAAAACTATGTCGACTCGTTTTAGGTTGAGCAAACTCCTCCACACTTCACAATAGGTAAGTGGGTCTATATTCAAAGGGATGTAGAATGAATTGGGTCAACAGGGTCCTGGAAACATCATGGAAGGAAGGTGGGGTGGAATGAATCAAGAGTTTGTTGGATTCAGATGAACAGTGCAGCTCTGGCCAATATACTATTCAAATGTTCATCTGGCAGTGCAATTGGGAAATTTCTAGTAATTTAATTTAATGACTGAAAATTAGCAGAGCTTTTCATATAAAATATTAAAATAATTCCAAGTATGCATTTTTTCTCTGAAGGAAGTTACTATTTTACTACCTAAATCAATTCTCAGGGAAAATATGATAATTTTAGAATGCAGCTTTTAAATTTGTATTTATACTTCTTATTTTAAAAACTTCCAATATGACTGCTTGAGAAATGTTAGGTTTTTCTGCTACCATTTTTTGAGATATTTAAACATACATTTGGAGAAGTAATATCTACAATTGTTTATTTTAACTTTTCTAATTCATTACTGTTTAGTGAGGTTCTTTCTTTCAAAAATCCTCCCACAAACACAATTTAGTTCATTTCTCCAAAGTGAACATTCCACTTTGTCATAATGAACCTTTCTATTATCTTCACAAATTTATATTGGATAGTTTCAGTAGTTAGCCATTTGCTCTACCAATTACAAAATCTTATTTCAGAGCACAGTGAAAGTTAGACTGCATTGATATTGAAAATAAATAACATAAACTGATGACAATAGATACTTCCTCTGCCTTTCCACTAAAGTCTAAAAATAAACTTTGTAAGAATTTTATAAGCAGAAAGACCATTCTTGTACATTTATATTTTCTCCATTCATCTTTACCATAAAAACATTTTGTACTCTCATTGGCAATAGATATGCCAAATGAGGAAAATATTTAGAATGCAACACTTTCATTTTCTCTGACCTCATATTCATTTCCCAGTGGGTGCTATATTCTTCAACTACCACTGGTTGTTAAAACCTTTATGGTAAGTAGGAAATACAGCTTATAAAGATTATGATGACAAATGAAAATGAAAATTGGTTCACAAGAGTACAACATGGCCCTGAAATCATTACTAGACTAAGCAGAAAAACTTTCTCATGCACAGCTGGAATATCCCTGCTTGTGACAAAGTACCATTAGGGTTTGCTGTTTCAATACTTTTGAATAGTGCCATTAGGATTTCCTGTTTCAATAACCTTCTCTTGATATGGCTCAAAATGCCATTAAACAACTTAACATAATGAGCAACAGTGAAGAGTCCAACCTCCAGATATTTGTCAATCTTTTCAATAAAAAAATGACAGAATTTGCATGTTTTTGCAGAAAAGGAGTTGTGGTGAAAAGCGTTCTTCTATTGAAATAGTCTTGAAAATTTGTTTCATGTTTTTCAGGAGGGGAAAAGCCATATTTTACAAATGCTATGTTCTCAGGACCATCTTGTTGCTGATGACATTGCCTTCCCATTGGGATTCAGCTTCCTCTCGCCTTTTCTCTTTTTGTTAATCCAATTTTAATTCTGTCAGTCAGTGGAGTTCCTTAACCAATGTACTCACACACCTATTTGATTCCCGTATGTAACTTGAATTTCATTCCAGGCCAGTTTTGTATCTGACTTTAATTTATTAATAAGAACCATGTTGAAGAGAATGATGTTATGTTGATACATTGGTTGCAGTAATAAGAAACCACTGAGGGGTCTTTTATGTATGTAAGGTATAGGGTAATGTGCTGGACATAAGTCATCTTATCTCTGAGCTGTAACATGCAGATTATGCTCATACTACAGGTAAGGATGGAGGTGTGTGTCTTCCTTGCCATTCTTTTGTGTTATAGTCAGACCAGGCCCATGTCTGGAGGTACCCAAAGTTGCAGAAGAGTCTGTAGGAGCTTCTCCCTCTCCTACTGATTCCATCTATCTCATGCCCCTGTCTCAATTTCATGAGCTGTGCATTTTTTCTTGTTAGGGTCTGTTTTATGATAACTATAACAAGATGGTCCATTGTCTTAGTAACTAAAGAAATAATAGCATGTTTCAGTGAATTATTTCTGGATTATAATACTAATGAGAATATGGACTTCATTATGTTCCTCCTTAAGGCACAATAGACTTCACTGTGAGTTAGGACAGTTTCCAAAAGTGACTGGTCAAATGGAATGCTATTTCTTTTACTTTCTGTGTTTAAATCCTCCTTAAGTCTAGTGCTGCCCACTAGACTTTTTGTAACTCATTCCTCGCATGGCTCCATCAGACCTTTCTTCTGAGTTACTTGTGATTTATTCATGTATTTATTAACCTCTAGTATCTCTGAGAGCAACTTTTTATCTATATTCCTGTGATAGATCTCCTAGGCACCTTAACAGGCAGCATTGTCAGTTATAAAGGCTATATTACCAGAAGAGTCTTCTAGGAAATCCTGCTGGTAGAGAGACTTCCTGTTCTGTCCACCGAGCTCTTCAGCTGTGTAGTGCACAGCATGTATGAGCAGGTTGAGGTATGGCTGGAAGGGAATGAGTATAACCAGTTTTCATGAAATGTTCATTTACTCCAGAATGTATTTGCTTATATGATAATATCTTAATGTAGTATTAGCTATGTCTTTTCCCCTTTATATCACTCCCACTCAAGAACAGTAAAAAGATATTTTGAATACGTTTTTCAATAATAAAGATTTGTGAGAGCCATACAATTTAGATCCAGATGGATGATTGACCATAAGTTTTTGTCATCTTTCTGAGTGTTCCATGGGAGGTAATATGGATGAGTGATCATGACTTCCTTAAATTATGTCACTTTCATAAATTAGTGCTCAGGATAAAGCAGAGTAGTTTCTTTCCACCAAAGTAGTTTTTCTAGATTCAGTTAATGACCTTCTAATATCATGCCACCATAGGATATGGAGAATCACCTCACATTTGCATGTGTCTGTCCAGCCTTAGTCATTTGTCTTTGAAGAACAAGTACAGCAAATAATGCTGAAAATAATATAGTCCTATCCTCTCAGTTCATAGTAGATTTTAATAATGTCTTTGAGCAATTTAAAATAGTTGTGTATTGTTTAAGGTTAAATTGTTGAAACAAATTAAACTATAGATTTAATTTCAGAAAAATCACATGCAAGAATTCATAGTTCACATTTAGTTTATTTTATCTCAATCTATTAAAATAAAACCTTTAAGTATTGTTATATATTAATGGTATTTGTCTAAACATTATCAAGGTGTATTTTATAATGTACAAAAGATATTTTTAGCAAATATCATTTATAACTACATGACATACAAGGCCATTTAGAGGTCTATGTTTTGTGACACTGTGTGAACCAATAAATTCAGAAACTGCTACCTAATCAGATTAAAATATTTTATTTTCCTTTTCTGCACATGTGTGAGAAAATCTTCATTTACTGAATAAGACAATGCAGGTACAATGGAAAATAAAACCATAGATTTTGAAAATTAAAGGTAAGATGAAATGAGAATACTGCATTTCTCATGAAAATTTCACTGCAGGGGTGAAGGTACAGCCCACCAGGGAAACCCATACTGCAGCGATGATCAGAAACTTTTGGGAAAGACAAAGTCCAGAAAATTGCTGGAGAGCTGCCTCTATAAGTGGGGAAAGTACACATGGGGATGAATCTATTTATTTTTATGGAGAAATAGTGTTGGTTGGGAGTGACTTAAAAGGAGCTAATACATGTGATAAAGATTTTCAATGCTTTTCTCCTCAGATATGTGTTGTGTCTTCTCCATGAAGATGAATAAAAATGGCAGATTTTCCAATTTTATTGATGTTCAGCACGTATTTTTCTTTGAAATAATCATTGGAGTCACGGCCAACACTTTTTTGCTTCTCTATCATGTCCTCATATTTCTTCTGGAGCACAAGCCAAAGCCCACTGATCTGACCATTGGTCACTTGAGCCTTATCCATATAGTAATGCTTTTAATTGCAGGTTTTATAGCGATAGATATATTCGGGTTTCAGCACTTGGGGGATGACACCACATGTAAATGTGTTATCTATTTGTACAGGTTAATGAGGGGACTCTCTCTCTGTACCACTTGCCTGCTGAGTATCCTCCAGGCAATCACCCTCAGCCCCAGAAGTTCCTGTTTGACTAAATTCAAACAAAAATCCCTGCAACATACCCTGTGTTGTTTTCTCTTTTTATGGGTCTTCAATATGCTCATCAATGTTCGTTTTTTAATCTCCACTGTTGCCATTCCCAATGTGACCTCACACGATCTTATGGTTGTCACTCAGTCTTGCTCCATTTTGTCCATTACTTCCTTCCTGAAGTACATATCTTCGTCATTGATGGTTTTCCAGTACATGATGTTTATAGGGCTCATGGCACTCTCAAGTGGGTACATGGTGATTCTCTTATGCCAGCATAAAAGACAATTGCAGCATCTTCACCGCACCAAACTATCTCCAAAATCATCCCCAGAAAAAAGGGCCACCCAGACTATTTTGTTGCTCATGAGTTTCTTCACTGTCATGTATGTTTTGGACAGTATTATTGAATATGCCTCAGCTATGTTGTGGAACCATGACCCAATCAGTCGTTGTGTCCAGATGCTGATTGGGAATGGCTATGCCACAGTCAGTCCCTTGGTGCTCATCAGTACTGAAAGACGATTAAGTGCTTTATATAAATGTAGGGGCAAACATAGGAATTTTTTTCTTTTGTTTCACAGAGTAATCCCTCTGACAATGGGCAATTGAATTTCTGCAAAACCATTTAAAATGAGGTAATCACAATTTTTCTACTAAGTGTATTTACTTTAACACATGCTCCTGATAAGTGCATACTAGATAATGTAACAGTATATTCCTTTAGGAAGCACAATAATGTACTTAATATTAACCTTTTTAAGAACTGAAAATCTGGTTTTACACTCTAGAAAACTTAATGTGGTATCACTGGATTTTTAGAACAGACCAAAAGACTAAGAATAAACAGTAAAAATGCATCATAATTGTGCAAAAAAATGGGATGCTACTGTATTCATAAATTTCTGTATAGTATTATGATGATATTTACTGGTTTATATGCTTCATATTTGCTTTTGTTTCATTTCAGTTGCATCTCAAGAACCTTATTTTAAAAATTTAGATGGGAACAGAAACTTTATATAAACAATTTCTTGAATTACTAGCTTATTCAATAGTTTCATACAGTAGAGTCTCAAGCACATAAGCAACTTTGTATGGGATAATCATATAACCGGGGCTTTTGTGTAGGGTTAAATAAAAAATTCCATAAATTAAGATTATTATGGTCTTAATTCTCTGGATATCATTTAATATTACCAGAATTAACATTAGAAGAATGGCAAATTTTGCTTCTGTTCTCTCACTAAATTTGCATACTTTTAAAATAGTATATGTTATAAATACATAAGGAAAGTGGATCATGATGGGCAGAGTACAATATATGTTCAAATTGATAGCTTTTTTAAATTTTGGAAATCAAATAACCAATACTCACAAGTATCCTTGAATTATTTTAATAGTGTTATAACTTAAATAACAAATGTTAGAGTTATTTTCTTTCTTGTCTTAACAGAATACTATAAGTAACAGAAATTATATATATATATATATATATATATATATATATACTGAAATCAAAATTAATTACAAATCCCTTTTTACTGCAGTACTATGTTATTGTAAATGGTGTCATAATATAGTCAATGTGAAAATTTTATGCTCTAAATTTTATATAAATTAACACAAACATTTAAAATCTTTATGAGTACTTATAAAATTAAATGTAATTGAAGTGTCCAGATATGAAGAATTCTCTAAAACCAGGTTATAAAGCAAAACGTACACTGTGCTACCATGGCAGCATTCAGAAATATTCCAGATAATCTTTTATGTGGTCTGTCAGCACAGGGTACAGAAATTCCTACCCTCACTTAGGTCATCAGTATCTGGGTGGTGGAACTGAAGGTCCACATTAAGTGCAGCTTCCGGGAGACAAACGTTTGGCAAAATGAGTGCTAAAGGCAATCAGAAAAGGACTTCTCTTCCTTCCTACAGTAGCAATGTAAATTTTCCTTTAAGGACATTTTGATTTCAAATGTAACAAAAGTGTGATTCAAATATCTGAGAGTAATTCTCCAGAGCATATAAGAGAAAAAAATAAAAATCCATGCCATATCATTTCTGGATTTTTATGAACAATATATGAGTGTGTATTTTACATTTATATAATATTTCAGAACGTAGTGTCACAGTAGAAGTCACTGAAAAAATTAGATGACCAATCCTACCAACACTATTATACTGTTATATATTATCCAAACATGAGAAATGTTAAAGAAATTAAAAAGACATAACATTTGGAATGGAAATGCATATTTTAAAATCTGTCCTTCAAATCTGTCCTTTAAAATGCTACTTCCACTGTAAAGTACCATTCCTCATGCTACTTCCAGCAAACATTTAATGAAATCTTTCCAAGAACATTCCTGAAGACACTGAAAATTAAGAAAAGTAGTATAACTTTTATAAGAGACACAACATGGAGATGTGCCCTACACGGGTGTCAATTTTGCAATTCTTTCTCTCATGGATGTTTCTGTGTCTCTCATGAACAGACCTGGTAGTAATAACTGAAAATACATCTTTATGAGCTGCGAAAAGAGCAGAATAAAACCTTAGTTTACGTAGTCTAGCAGAAAAATTCAGAGGGGTCCATCAGAGAATGGGTTCTCTACAATTAGATCCAAATGAAATGGCAGTGCAGATACAAATGGACCATGTCTAAATGAATATAACTGAGTTTGAACAAACACAAGTGGGTTAAAAATAGAGGTCTGTTTAATCTAAACCTGTAGAGTACCTTCAAAAACAAAACATAAACATTCCCTGTTAGATCTTGAAGGGACTAAAAACACTGCGTAATACAAATTTCCTCTGTTCTGAAATAGGCAGAAGAAACAGATAAAATAGTCATCCTTCAATAATTAGCAAATTTAATCAAATTATAATCCATAGTCCAACAACATTCTTCAAGGAACTACAAAAACAGTCTTAAAATTCATATGGAATGAGAAGAGACCAAAACACTAAAGTAATGCCTGATCATAAGAATGAAGTAAGATGTATCACAAAGCTGAGTTCAAGTTATACTACAAATTTCCAGGGATAAAAGTGGCATAACATTAGCATGTAAACAGATATGGGGAACAATGGAACACTATAGAAGGATACTGAAACATCTCCAGATGTATGTCTTTCAAGTGGCCAAAAACGTACACTGAAGGAAAGATAGTCTATTTAAAAAATAGTTCTGAAAAGATTGTCTATCCATAGCCAATTAGTCTAGACCTGTTTATCTCACCATTGATGAAGCTAAAATAAAAATGAATTGAAGATATGAGTGTTAAACCAGAAACAATGAATCTAATGGAAAATAAAATGGGTAAGAATCTTCAAGGCATAAATGTAGGCAAGGTCCTTCTGGACAGAACTGTAACTGCACAGGAAATAACAAGACTCTACAAATGTGATTATATCAAATTGAAAAGATTCAGCACAGCGAAGAAAAGAAGCAGTATATTGAAGAGACAAACTTCAGAAAGAAAATATTTTCCTGTCTCCTCTTCAGACAGCGGACTAATATCTAGACAAATTTATTTATTTTTTTTAATTTTATTTAAGGAGAAAAAAAACAGAGAAAGGGTACAAGTTATACAGATTTACAGAAAAAAATAAGCAGTAGGAAATCACTAGTTAATAGATTACATATTGTCATCTTAGAAATAATTGTTCAAGTCACAAAATTAAAGCTTGTAAAGTGGACATTCCAACAATGATACTGCAAACAGTTCTGTTCAATGATCCAATAAAACTCAGTGATATCATTTTCTATCTTATACACTTAAATATACATGCAGTTGTATCATTTAGAGCACTTTCTTTTCCTCTCTTTTGTACAATGACAATTACACATTTTGGGTTTTATTGCTCCCACGGTTCTTATTACTTACAAATTTAAAAAATTAGACTACCACAATAAAAGATCCAATCAAGAAATGGCCAAGTGAATTAAATAGACACTTATCAGAAGAAGCAGAAATAATCAAAACCATATGAAAATATGTTCAGAATCTCTGAAAATTAGAGAAGTTCAAATTAATACAATATTAAGATTTTATCTTGTACCAGAAAGAATGGTAATCATCAAGAATTGATAACAACAAATGTTCAGGTGGATATAGTAAAAAAAAGGAACACTCCTACATGGTTGTGGGAATGTAAACTAGTAAAACTATTATGTAAACCAGTATGGAGATTTTGCCAAGAATTAAAATTAGCAATTCTACTTTACTTAGCTATTCCTCTTTTAGATAACTTTTCAAAGGAGCAAAAAATATTACATTATGCTGATCCATGCACATCAATGTTTGTGGCACCATAATTCATAATAGCTAGGTCCTGGATCCAGGCTGTATATTCATCAACAGATAAAGAAAGTGTGCTAACTATGCATGAGAGAATACTACCCAGATACCCATAAGGATAAATTTTCAACCTTTTGTAGGAAAGTGGATACACCTGAAAATATAAGTTTAAGGGAAATAAATCAGACCCACAAGGTTCAACACTGTATGGCATATCTAATTTGAGTGAGGCATTAAACAAAGAAAAAATAAACAATAGGTAGAAAAAATGGGGAGCTAGATTTTTTGCAGTGGGAATGGCCCCCAAAGGCCAAGGATGAGGGAGTAGGAGGTGAAGTGGAAGTATAAATATCTGGGAAATATGTACATTTGAAAAATACCAACAATGAGTGTAAAAATGATGTGCTATAAACATGAACTAAAAAGAATATCGATCACTTTTTTAAAAAGGGAAAAAGGATTCAGAGATGGAGAGAGAGTATTCAGTGGAGAGAGAAAGTGGATTGGAAAAGTATCAAGAGATGTTATGTACATGTGCCTGCTCCCTAAGGTGAATGCGAGTTTCATGGCAAACATATACTAATTCAATAAAATTTTTGTAAGGAACAGTATGTCTTTATAGATGTACATTTTATTAAAATTTAAAGATTCACCATATTATGAATTCTCCATAACCAGAATTCATAAAGTCAGTTAAGACTCATTAATTGTGTAATCCTGGGTTTGGCATTCACTGATTGCTTTGACTCTTTAGAACTTTCTTAATTGTCTGTACACTGAGAAAATTTGAATTACATCTGGGGTTCTTGCATTATATTGTTTGTTATTCGTGTTCCTATACTCAGTAGAATGGTTTGTTAAATTATTTATTACACAAACTTAAAATATAAAAATATGATAGTGGTTTTATTGGGATGAAAGATTTAGGTGACATTTTCCATATTTTTAATTTTCTAATACTATTACTGAGCATTCCCTCTATCTTTATTATTATTTTTATTAAGATTTTTGATGTAATGCAGACATATGTAGTGATCACATTCATTATAGGGACTTGTACCTGTGCATGATATGTCTTAGTACATTTCTCATTTACCTCCTCTCCCTTCACTTTCTCTTCTCCTTATTTATGAACCTTTGTTTCCATTTCATCCTTTTACTCTCATTTTTTCTGTTCCTTTCCTCCCTCTCCCAGTTCTCCAATCCTGTTGAACAATTTCTTCCTATTTCATGATATCTATTTTACTGGATTTTATATACAATATCAATATCTCACACCAGAGAGACAATGCTATATGTACACAT